TAATATGCTGATTTGCTGCTCAAGAAAAATGTCTGTTTATCAATTTTGAAAACCGTTTTTGCGGCTTAATATCTTTGTGAAAATATTTGTTGTTGTTGTTATTTTCTTGAACTAGAAATCTTTTGTAACATTATAAATGTCTTTGCTGTCACTTTTGATCAATTGAATGCATCCTTGCTGAATAAAACCTCAAACTTCTGAACAGTAGTATGATCTGTCATTTTAGGAGAACTGATCAGGATTGAGTTTACTGTGTTGATGGACAGTCATGCCTGACTTCAACTACAGTGCTTCTCTTTTTCACTCTCTAGAACAGTTCACGGAATTTGACACCTATCTGTTCTTTTTGGGATTTTGACCTGATGTAAGCAATTTTCATGTACTTATTTATTTAATCTGCAAATTCTCAAATGCTCTGGTTTGTGTTTTGTATAACTGATGAAATCTTGTTTTGTCTTGACGCCTCAGGCCAGAGGGGGGAGGGTGGTCAACAAAGGGCTGCACCTCTATTTCCACTAAGAATAACTCAACTTCCTGTTCCTGTAACCACACTACCAACTTTGCCTTGCTGTTACAGATCTCCGAAGTTCAGGTACGGAGGTTTTTAATAAGCAGTACCTGTAACAGATAAAAAAAAGCATAAAGCATAATAGCATAAAGACTGGATACTGTACATGAGTTTGACCAATAATTATTTACTTTGCTTATGAAAAACAGGCTTATGTTGTCGCAAACAGTGTTATTTTAGTATTATATTTGTACTAATATAGTATGTGTTCATTCATATTTTCATATTTTGGATTATCTTTTATTTTTATATTTTAGGATTAGCTTATTATTTTTATTTCAGCTTCAGTTTTAGTCATTTTTGTACATCACCTTAAACATATTTCTAGTTGCCAAGGCAGCATATCTAATTTTCAAGATTAGGTTTTTATAAAATATAAATCTAATATATATCTTACTCTAATATTGATATTTTATTTGATTTCACCTTTATTTAAATTGCCAAAAATTATTTTCAGTTATAATCATGACATGAGGAAACAGTCCTCATGTGAAACACAATTAAAAGAGCCAAAAAATGTGTTTGTATATAGTTGGAATATATAGTTAAGTAAATATAGTTGTACCAGTTTATATTTTTAAAAAATCTACAGAAGGCATATTTATGTTATATTTAATGAGTGTGTAATCTTTTGTGGGTAATTCATTTTAAAAATGAAAAAAAAAAAAAAAAAACTACACTTACAGCACTTTTTTTAAATCAGTAGTACATCAAAATTCAAATCCTACTTAAATTCTTTGTGTGTGTATTAGCCAAATCCTGATCATCAGACAGGCTTGCAGATCTTCAGTTTGATTGGCTCTGGCGTGTCTCTGTGTGGTCTCATTTTCACATTTATTCTCTTTGTGGCTGTTGGGTGAGTTTCCCGCTGTTTCTAATAACCATACAACAGACAGTATAGCGCTCATCCGGTGTCTTCCCTGGCATTGCATTATGTGTTGCTCTCTGTCTCCCTCTAGCGTTCCAAAGTCAGATCGGACTACAGTTCACAAAAACCTGATAGTGGCGCTGGTTGTAGCTCAGTTACTTCTTATTTTCAGCGACTGGGCTTCGGGAAACCAGGTGTGACTTCTATATCTGTCAACATATATATGTGTTGATAAAAAGTAGGGAAACAGCTGTGAAATTACCACATAGTACCACAAAAGTGACTGTATAAAGAGTAACATGTAAAAGTGTTACAAAATTTGTTTCATGTTTTCCACAAATAAATATTAAGCAGCACAGCTGTTCTCAACATTGGTAATAATCGTAAATGTTTCTTGAGCAGCAAATCAGCATATTAGAATGATTTCTGAAGCTAGAGAACTACAAAAATAATAATTTGTTTACCAAAAGTTGTTTATGGTCAGCACTGCCAGATGTCCATTATTTATTATGCAAATTAACAAAGAATGAATTGAGACAATAGGATGATTTAAAATAGATTTTCTGCTCCATCTCATTAAATTATTGCCACCATTTTATAGTGTTGACAAATTAATCATATTTTGAACATCACACGTGTTAAATGTGTGTTTAATAATGATGCTAGATACTAATATAACCTATTCAATTAAGGGAAATTATCTGAAATACAGTCCCAAACGATCTTTCTTTCTTTCTTTCTTTCTTTCTGTCTTTCAATTTTCATTATTGTGATGTGGAAAATTGTTTTTTACTTAGTCTGAAATTATATATATATATAAAAAATGATGAACTAGATTGGTGAAATATGAAAAGAGGACATTAGGACTTTGATATTGGATGTTTTTATACTTCTTTTCATAAATATCGGATGGTATTGATAAAAAAACAGTAGAGAAACAGCTGTGAAATTACCGCATAGCAGTGGTTTCTTTAGAGATAAATCACATACACTACCATTCAAAAGTGACTGTAATAAATAACTTTATAATTTTTATAATTGATATTTTGTTAAAGTGTTACAAAATGAGTTTCAAATAAATGCTGTTCTCTTGAACTTTGTAAAAAATATTAAGCAGCACAACTGTTTTCAACATTGATAATAATCAGAAATGTTTCTTGAGCAGCAAATCAGCATATCAGAATGATTTCTGAAGGATCATGTGACACTGAAGACTGGAGTAATGATGCTGAAAATTCAGATTTGATCACAGGAATAAATTAAATTTTAAGATATATTAAAATAGGAAACATTTGTTTTAAACTGTAATAATATTTCACTGTTTTTTATTACTGTTTTTATGTATTTTGACCAAATAAATGTAGCCTTGGTGAGCATAAGCGACCTATTTTGTTTAAAAAAAAAAACATTAAATAATCCTATCAACCCCAAACTTTTGAGAAGCAGTACCTACTTATATTTCTATGTAACAATCAAATAATATACTGTATTTTTTTTATTTAAATGGTATTTTTGCATTCTAGTAAACATCTCTGATGTACTACTGATGGCAGGTATGGACGTGTTTTTTGTCAGCATTTGAACAGATTATGTGTGTGTTGTTGTGGAGCAGGAAGCCTGTTGGCTGGTGACGGCGCTCCTGCATCTGTTTTTCCTGTCGTCTTTCTGCTGGATGCTGGTGGAGGGCTTGCTGCTCTGGAGTAAAGTGGTCTCTGTGAACATCAGCGAGGAGAGGCGGATGAAGCTGTACTATGTGCTGGGCTGGGGTGAGAACTGTGTGTGTGTGTGTGTAAACCATTATGATTCACGTTCTGTTTGATTAACCTTCCTCTCATGCACTGTGTCTGTATTTGCTTTGTCTTTCTTAGGGCTGCCGGTTGTTATAGTCGCTGTAACCTTGGCAGCCACTTTGGATCGGTATAAAGCACAGCAGTACTGCTGGCTGAACCTTCAGTCGCATGTTATTTGGGCTTTTGCAGGGCCTGTGCTCTTTGTTTTGGCCGTAAGTATGTCACAAGTGCACAGTTCCTCGAGTGAGTGTGTGAGTGTTTGTGTCAGAATAATTATCACAGTGGGCTCCTATTTGCTTTTGAGTGTATGAGTTTATGCAATGCACTTCTGATGGTTTTAAAGTCAGCATGAAATCTATTTCCTAAATGCATTTTATGGATTTTTTTGTGAACGATTCATCTGTGCATATGTTTGCTTTTTAAATTTTTTTTTAACCTTGTAATGTTTAAAGGGGTCATATGATGCGATTTCAAGTTTTCCTTTCTCTTTGGAGTGTTACAAGCTGATTGTGCATAGATAAGATCCCTGAAGTTGCAAAGACTAAAGTCTCAAAACCAAAGAGATATTCTTTATCAAAGTTAAGACTCTGCCACGCCTCACTATGTAGCATAATGCGGCCCAAATGTGCACGCAAAGAAAGAAGGCGTGGTTTCAGTAACCGCAGTAACCGCAGTTACAGCCATGTCAG